ATATAGTTTTTCACTTGTCTTCAACTCTGCTACAGACAGCAAAGTGTACCATTTTAAAATGTCAACAGCTGTGACATGATTAAATTACTTGATCAAGTCAGGGAGGGGGTTCTCTCTGATCATCTTTTGTTAACTGTGTGAAAATTATCAAATAATGCAAACATAATTTTAAGAAGAAAAAAACCATTAAAATAAATTTAGAAAATTGTTTGGATGAGAAATTAAGTGTTGAAATATTTTGGGACCTTGATTGCATTATCAAAAGCATTTGCCTAATGCAGCATTACTGAAAAAAGAAAATTTAGAAAACATACACAAAAAAAACTAGAAAAAACTGTTAAACGTATTATGAAATTGTTATTTTTAAGTGTTTTGTTTTTTTTGTTTTTTTTTTTTTGTTGTGTGATTTTTAAGAAAGCTGAAAATATTTAAGTTGGTCGATGTGTAAGATTAAAAATATGTATGGATTTTGGACTTTTCCACCTTATTGCTTCTTTGAGTATGAAATTGAAATAAAACATTTTTCATTAAAATTTGAATCATTCCATATATTCTCAGATGTTACATGTTTATTCCAATTTCATACAGTTTTAAGTGTAATGGTTGAAGATTAAACTGGTCAAGAATATTCTACTAGACATCAAAGTGAATAAAGTTAGTCAAAAACAGAGCATAATCATTCTCTTAAAATTTCTTTTAGGTTATTTTAAACTCTTTGTTCAGAAGTTAGCTAAGGTCTTTTTTTTTTTTTTTTTTCTTGCAATTTTCATTTCTATGCAAAAGCATCATCTTATAAAACACAGCATTTACCAATTAAGAATCTGTAAATTTTCTTTAAAATCTTTTAAATAAACTGATGTGACTTGAGTAATCAAATATTCTAGTTTACTTTTAAATTGTACCAGAATCATAAACTATTCTTGAATAGAGAATAATGTTTATGAATATTATGTATACGTTTATAAATAATGATGCGAACTTAAGTTGCAAAACATTTAATTTCAAGAGTTTCCTGGTATTAGCTTATATTGTATGCAAACGTTTTCAGCAAAAAAAACCCCAAAAAACTCCAACTGTTCAATCTCTGCTTTTAAAAAAAAATGTGATAGGAACTTTTGCTCGATTTTTTTTTTTTTTTTTTTTTTCGCTCCCACAAATACTGCAAGTGCAATGAATAGTATTTTTAAATATTTAGCTTGAGAGAAAAAACCCGATACAGTTTCTTTTGTATGATTTGTTAAAAATATCTTTTTAGCTCTTCTCAATATTCTTGCTTTTTTTTTTTTTAATTTTATTTTTATGTCTCTTCTATCTTCTTACTAATGTTCACCTGATTTCCCACAAATGACGAACAATCCTCTATACTTAATCAAATTGTTATAGAGAGGCTTCAATCAATAATCAAGTAATTTCATTCCATTTGTAAAGCTTAGCAAAAATTTGGAATTGCTTCTTTCATTGGCGTTCAGCTATTGTTATCTTCAGTGTTGTCTGCTTCTCTTGTCAACATGTGTCAGTGCCATGGTCCTTGCAAGGGAGATAATACATTGTTTGTTTTCATGTCTGACTTTATAACCTTTCACCTCAAAAAATACTTATTTTTTTCTCACTTACGTTGAAGTTTGTTATAACATAGTGATCTATCCTTTGATAGTAGTATAGTGTTATAACCAAACAATTTTACATTTGTAAAATCTGTCATAAAGTTGGAGTAATTTACTACAAATTTGCTTAAGATTTTATAAATATTTTAGCTAAATTTCCTTTTCTTTCTTTTTTTTTTTCCTAAAGTAGAAAAACTGACATAATTTTTTGCATTCTGAATTATACTTAGGAAATCTGCAATCCTGGATCACATAAATTGATAATAGTGGGTTGATATTTATTATCCCCCCCCCTCCCAATTAAATGCCAGATGGTGAATGGTAGAGTAACAATGCTAGTAGCCCTTCAAAACAGAAGTTCATATCATTAAGATTGTAGCATTTCCAACAAATTTTCTCCAATCTTTCTTTTTTCTTTTTCTTTTTTCTTTTTTTTTTTTTTTTTTTTTTAAAGCTTTAGTCAATTTGTGAATTCTCATGTGCTAGGTGAAATGTTAGTCACTTGATAACGAAGAAACAGATGGTCCTTAAAATGAAAACTTATAAGGTTGAATGATTTAAATCCACTAAACAGTTTTAATGTGGGATGATTCCTATTCAATTCTGTGCTACTGAATATTGCTTCTCTCTAGAGTGCATGTTTATTTTCTTTGCTTTTCTTTTTTTTTTTTTTCCAAGTCATTGCATCTTTTGAATCCTTGTAGCAACAAACAAGTTTTTTATGAATTGCCTAATTGTAATATGTATTACTTATATTAGTACACTTTGATAAGGAAATCTTTAAAAGAGTTTTATTATTATTATGGATTAATTATTGCTGCAAATACATTTTTCCAAATAATTATTAAGGAGTCTAAAGTAGTGGTATTGATGTTTCATATATATATATCTATATATATATATATATATATATATATATGCACACACACACACACAGATGCTGGAAAGTTCTCTGTCCAATTAAGTTCTTCCCCTCTAAAGTTCTTGTTTGGTCAGATATAGTTGATAAGGCTGAGAACTTTTCAGCACTCCCTCCATATGTTTTCATAACATTAAAAAACGAAACTTCAAATGTTCATTATATAGCGTAATTTTTTAAAATGTCTCTACATCTGAATTACCTTATAAGAACTTGGTAGGTAGTAATCTCTAAATTATATTTAAAAAAGAAAACAGATAAGTATACTCCAAAGTGAGAGGCAAGGAAAAAACATAGTAAATAAGAATGCCTTGGCCACTTACCTACACCCCCCACTTCACTTAACATTCTCAAAACAAGTTTTATTTCCAGGCAACCTTGTTGTCAAGTTTGACAGGCATTTCATGTAGAAAGCATCTAGTCACTTCATGCATTAATATTCTTATTTAATAATCTCTGAAAGATAATTTTTAGTATAGTTGAAAAATCACACCTCTTCCCACAGTAACATGTCAGCACCAATGTCCTCTTCAATTTTAGAGCGAGGAGTGACTTTTTCATCTATTGCTTGTCATGTGGAGGAGAGAAAGACATTGATATTCAATATGTAAGCTCTTGAGGATTTCTAAATTCTCTAGAAATAGAAAGAATATTTCTTTGTTAAATACATATGTACATACTTTTGGTTGGCTTTATAAATATCTTATTTTCTTTACATTTTAATTAATTTTCTTATAGATTTTTGTTTTGTCAGTCTAATTAGTGTTGCTATTAAATCATAAGAAGGCATTTCTGTAGATTCATTTGTGCAAATAGTCAAAATTTGTAATTCAAGAGGAAAGGAAGTTAATAAACAGCATTTTCAGGAAACTTAATATTTTTATAGCCTGCAATATCACTGAATTAACAATTTTCAATCTTAGTTTTATATATGTATTTAGCAATTAGTATGAGTTATCCATATATAAAGTGCTGTGTGTGATGTATTTCACAAAAGATATAAATATTTTGATCCTAAGCAAAAGCACCAAATCATACTTAATCCTGTATTTTTGATGGGTACTATGCAAGCTTATAATTTATTAAGCCTTTTATGTTTTTAATGTTATTTTAATTAATAAAAAGAAAAATGTATGTTTACATAATTTTTTTTTTTTTTTAAGCATGCCTACTTTAGTTGAAAATGTTTAAAATTTAGAATAATGATCTTAAGCTAAGTTAATGAAGGGATGAATTCTTTGAATTTCTATAAGCTTAAAACACTTAACATAATGACTTACAGAAAATAGTTAGGCTGTAAAAGTTTCTCAGTATTGTTCTTTTCAATAGAGATCTTTGTTTGCTTTTGTGGTAAATGTTGACTATTTCCCTGAAGCTATTATTATTTTAATTAAGTCCTCTTCACTCTTGTATTAATGTTCAATTTCATTTTATGGTATTGATATGACACATTGTTTGAACATTCTAAAGTTCACAAGTTGCTGAGAAATTGTGATATTACCCCACATCCCCCATTTGATTTCCCTCTGAAATTATTTCCACTTGTTGCTTCATATTTTGCAATCTCTGAATAATCAAGATGGCATTTAAAAGTTCTAAATTATGGGAGGAGCAATGTGTTTTTTTTCTTTTTTATAGAATTGATAAAGTTCTTATTTACATATATACTGTTTTGTGTTTATTTTGATATACAGGTTTATCAATCAATTATTCAATTTCAGTTGGAGATTCATTGAACTTTATCCAGTAAAAGTTTGCATCATTTTTTATATTATGTTCAGAAAGTTACAATGTTTTTTGCCATCTGAATGCATGTACATTTAACTTGTTTTTGTCCTAAAAAATATTTGCTATATAACCTTTTTAAAACCTGATCTGTCAGAATTATAATGGGAATGTTTTTAAAAAAGAAATCTGATTTTATGATATGCACATAAAAAAAAAAAAAAGTTAGTCCAAACACATTTTCAACTGAAAGTGTCAATTGTCTAGTAACTTCAATTTATCTTGTAAAGACAGCCATGAAAACTAATTTACTGCAGAAATTTGAATAAGGGTTTTTCATTTTATATAATATTTAAACATATTTTTGGTTTTAATTTAATTTTTTTTTTTTTTTTTTTTTATCAGTCATTTAAAAATATATTTCTGTCAGTTAATAGACCTTTTTATTCTTGAAAGAACAGTTTTAATCTGTCCACTGAAGCAAACAGTTAATTGATTAACAGTTTAATTTTAAATTTATTACCTTTTTACTTCTGAGAATTTTCTTACCAGCAAGGACTTATTCCATTACTGAGTAATAATGAAGATTCTCTTTATCTACAATGTAACTAATTTTTAATTTATTTTTCTAGTCCCTTGTTTTCTCTCTTAGTCCCTTGTTTTCTCTCTTAGTCCCTTGTTTTCTCTCTTAGTCCCTTGTTTTCTCTCTTAGTCCCTTGTTTTCTCTCTTAGTCCCTTGTTTTCTCTCTTAGTCCCTTGTTTTCTCTCTTAGTCCCTTGTTTTCTCTCTTAGTCCCTTGTTTTCTCTGGCCTCTCGTTCTCTCTCTTGGGCCCCTTATTTCTCTCTATCGCTTTATCTTCCTTTTTTTATTTTTTCTCTCTATCGCTCTATCTTCCCTTTTTTATTTTTTCTCTCTATCGCTCTCTCTTCCCTATTTTTTTTCTCTCTATCGCTCTCTCTTCCCTATTTTTTTTCTCTCTATCGCTCTCTCTTCCCTATTTTTTTTCTCTCTATCGCTCTCTCTTCCTATTTTTTTTCTCTATCGCTCTCTCTTCCCTATTTTTTTCTCTATCTCCCTCTTTAATTACTTCTCTCTTCCCCCTCTCTCTTCCCCCTTTCTCTCTTCCCCCCCTCTTTCTCTTCCCCCCCCTTTTCTCTCTTCCCCCTTTCTCTCTTCCCCTTTTCTCTCTTCCCCCCCTTTCTCTCTTCCCCCTCTCTCCCCCCCTTTCTCTCCCCCTTTCTCTCTCCCCCCCTTCTCTCTCCCCCCTTTTCTCTCTCCCCCTCTTTTCTCTCTCCCCTTTCTCTCTCCCCCTCTCTCTCCCCCCTCTCTCCCCCCTCTCTCTCCCCCCTCTCTCCCCCTCTCTCTCTCTTTTTTCTCTCTTTTTTTTTCTTTTTTTTTTTTTTTCTTTTTTTTTCTCTCTCTCTCTCTCTCTCTCTCTCTCTCTCTCTCTCTCTCTCTCTCTCTCTCTCATAAGCATTTTCTGTCCATTAGTATAATGGCATTCAATCCATTTCTTTGATAATTTTGTTTTGTTCCTTAGATATCTCTTTCCAGAAACTTATATATACATTAACAAATGTTAATGTAGATAATAAAACTATTTACTTGGCTACATTCCATTTTTACATGTTCTGAATCACTTTGCCTTCTGTTTAATTTTTATCAGATTGGAAAATCATAGTTTCTAATTTTTTTTTTTTTTTTTTTTCTCTCTCTCTCAATGAAACTGGATTTTTTTTTCTCTGGTAAATCTATTGATTTTGGAAAAAATTCATTTTGTCTTCCATTTTTGAATGATCTATTTTATTCCTGTTACCTCTACCTAAATTTGTATCACTCTTTCCATTAACACTAATGCAGCTATTTCTGTCCAATTTTAGAGTGCTGTCAGTATTTTCTGAAGTTTTCACCTGAACAAAACTATATTGATGTCAAGTTTACATTCCTTGATTAATAAAAACATCTAAAGGCCTGTTTAAATATTCCTTGGAGAAAATTCTTTTTGATTATTTGGCAAAAATGAACAAAATAAATGACTTTAGTTTTCAGCAATAAAACACTTGCTTAAGGATCGGAATTTGAATAATTCCGATCCATAAGTTTTGTGTATGTATTTTGTGATAATCTGAAGTTGTCTTTTGTTTAAAATACTGATATAATTAACTATTGATCTCTGGACTTTTTCCTTTCTTTCCATACAGGAAAGAAGAAATTAATATTAAACTGAAAAGTTCTTCTAACAATCTGGCCAAACACCAGAATTTATTTTGTAAGGGCATTTTAGTCCAACCAAGAAATTTTCAACACACCCTCATACTTTACAGTTTTAATTTCAGAATTTTTTTTTTATAGCTACATAGGTAACAGATGTTTTTGATTATTCTGTTTTCCTTAGAATTTTAATTTTTTTTTTTTTTTTTTTTTTTATTTCTTTTTAATTTTTGGTCCTAATATATTTGCAGTTTATTTACTTTTTTGCTGTAACATAAACATTTTTATACTGCTGCTTGTTTAAAAATTCACTAGTTTTTCTGAATTACCAGATTTATTTGATAAAATATAAGCATAAATTGAATATGTAACCATAACAACCAGGATATTTTTTCTTCACTGTTCACAACATAAGAGAAAACTATTAATCTTGTTTTAACATTTCAAAATTTCTATTTTCTGTATTTTAATTAAATAAAATTCAAACTACAATAAATTAAATTTTGTGAATATTTAGCTTTATCTGAATATTTGTAGTTTATATCCTGTTGTTTTTGATAAATTTTAGTTTTCCTCCTTTTTAATTTATATTTGTTTTTATTTCTGTCTGCTCCTGATTCTAAAATGGTTTGAATGTATTTTCAACTTCATTGTCTGATTATAAAAGCTGTTTTATTATTAAAGGTATTGTAGGATAAGATAGAAAATAAATTTAAAAAATGACACTATTCTTAAGGAGAGCTTGACTTGTTGCAGCAAATGAAGAACTAAACAATATGTAGAAAAACTCATTGTCAATCCACCTCTTTCATCTGCCCCCCCCCCGGCCAAAAAAAAAAAAACAGGTGTTAAGTGCTTTCAGAATTTTTAGTCACTTAATTTTCTCACAAAATGAAACCAATGACAGGTTTTATTGGCAATCTCTTTGTCATTAACTACTTTCAGAAACCAAGTAGGCTAACATGTAGAAACCTCTTTGCAACATGTTAACTATTTAAGTAAAGCTTACAGCTCTCTTGGTTGTATTGCAACAATTATTCCTTGTATCCACTTTCAATAAAATGTAACTGTTTATGGAACCTGTGATATCATAAGATTATCATGATAATCATCTGATTTCTGTACATATGTATTTTTTTACTGTAACAGCAAAAATGACATCTCTCTGCAATACTGTTTTTGTAATTGTTAATTAAGAATAGACTGGCCTCCACCCCACCCAAAATGTTTGTTCAAGGGATATAATTTTTTTTAGGAAAATAAGAATAACCAGGGAAGAATCCTTGACTTGTATGCACTCTTTTCTGTCAGCCATAGTGGCATACTATTAATACTTGATAATTATTATTAAGCTTAGTGATAATTGGCATTTGCAAAGAATTATAATATAAACTTTATGCATAGGAAATGACTTGACATTGAGCAGAAGTTGTTAATGGTGGCATCTAAGCCTGTATGCATATTTCTCTCTATAGTGGAATGCTGATGTTTTGTTCCTGCTTGTATGTTCCCTGAATAGGAATTTTAGCCAAAAGTGATGTCTCAAATTCATATTCTGTTGACTCAAACTTCTCCAGTTCAGTGTATTTGGTTTTGAAGTATGCTTTAAAAACAGGACTGAACATTTTTACCTAAGGAAAATTTATTTCTTACTATAAAAACATTTTTGACTTTGTACTAATTTTGTTTTAAAAACTAATTTGACTTTTTCTATTTTGTAATTAAATCTGTTTATTTCAATTTTTAAACAATATTTAACTTAATTTACACATTTAAATTGCAACTTTACAATATTTATACAAATAGAATATCATTCTAAATTTGAGTAATCATTGTTTTGAATTATATAGTTGCCAAATTTACTTCTAGAATATTTTATAAATGAGATTATAAAATACTTGGAATGTTTTAAATAAACATTGCTTCTTTATATAATCAGCAAAAGAACTTTCCTAATCTTCTCAGCAAAGAAAATATTGACTTTTAATAATTTTCAGATAACCTAAACACTAATAAGACTCTGCAATGCATAAAGTATGTTTTAATTTTATTTTTATTTTAAGAAAATGAAGACTGTACTTTTTTTTTTCATTTTAATTGTCTTGAATTATGAAATACTGTCAAAATTTACTTTGCTTTAAAATCATAAATTCTATTTTAGTTTATTGATTTCAGAATGTTACTAATTGAACTAATTTTACTTGTGTTATTAACAGGACTAATTTTATATTATCTGGTGCTTTATTCCTTCCCACTATTGTCAGTAGCTTATCTGATTGATTGGTAGATTTGTTTAATCTTCATAGGCACCAAAAATAGGCATCTAGCCAATGTATTCTATTTTAATATTTATATTCTAAGGATAAAAAGAAAATTGATTTCACTTCCTTTCATTTTTGTCCCTCTAATTCCTTTCATTTTGTGTGTGTGTGTGTCACTTGTCTAATGCATTTGGTTATCTAAAATTTAACCAAGATATTAAATTGTGGAGAGTTACATATACAAATTGTGAATATTCATTTTTCACCTTCAAATATTGATTTTATTTTATTTTTTTGTTAGCTTACAAAATGTCCTCCTCCAGTTCACCACTCATTTATATTTTTTTTTTTTTTATTTTGTTTTAGACTTTTACCTTTATCCTAGAATGAAACGAAATAAAATTCCAAGCCCCATTCAAACTGTAACCCTACTGTCTTGCTGAATTGTCTGAGGCTGGTAATGACTGTACATACATTCCCCAAAATACCAGATGTTTTGGTAAATTATCAACTTACTAGTTTATCCATATGATAATATTTAAGTAATTTTACAATTGTATTTATAAAATGTCTTATAAAATTTTTCTTCTACTTTCTTCTGTTCAATACTTTCTGAATAGTAAAATATTCAAATAACATTGAATAATTGATTTGTATGTTACCAGAATAACTGATGCAGAAAAGCAATTTGTGCATGTGTGCTCACACACCCACTGTGTGTGTGTGTCTAATACATACATATTCACATATACATGAGGAAGTGCTAAAAAAATTCTTGGCCTAACCCAATTCCAAAAATATGTTCAAATATATAAGATTTTTTGTGTCTTGATTAGGCTGAGAAATTTTGAGCATTTCTCTATCTCTTATACACAAATATTTGCATACAGGGTGCGATGGGTAAATTGTCGCCATTTTATATCTTTAACTTTGTGCATGTGTGTTGTTTTTTGATTTTGTTGACTACACAGTATAGTATGGTTAGCTGGGCACTGTCTGTGAGAAAAAGAGCACCATGACTCAATTCACTGTCAGAAATTTGGAAACTAAATGCTGTACTGCTGGCATTCATGCTGGAAGCTCCAATATGAACCGTGTGGCGATCTGAGGACAGTGCATAGAGTTGAATGATATATCCAGTCAACATCATGGTGTCTGGAGTGATTACTAGTGATGGCAACGTTATGGCTCAATTCATCTTCCACCAGGGCTTCAGCTTCAACACTGAGGCCTACATCAAGTGCCTTGAGGAGGTAGTGCTGTCCTGGGTCAAGAGGGTGGCTGCTGGAAGACCTATCTTTGGCAACAAGACTCTGTGCCATGCCACACAAGCAGGAGAACCCAGTCACAGCTGTTAGATAATTTCTGTGACCACTTCACCCCTTAGAACTGGCCACCTAACTCCACAGACTGCAACCCCTTTGATTATTATGCATGGGCCATAGTTGAGCAAAAGACTAACAAAACTCTTTGTAACACCAACGATGAACTGAAGGCAAGGATTATGGCAGCATTCACCAACTTAAACAAGGAGACCGTCCAGTAGAGTTGCAGAAGATTCCAAAGTCATCTGGAGGCCATGGTTGAAGCCAATGGTGATTTTATTGAATAAATGTACTCTTTAGTATTTCAAGATATTTTTGTGTAATTTTGGTGAATATATATATGTTAAAATGAGATTTCAGTGTTATTTTCATTTTTGCATAATTTAGATGACAATTTATCCATCGCACCCTGTACATACTACTAGCTTTATTGCTGTATCTTATTTCATAATCTAAATTTCCACTTAGCAATAAGCAATTCAGAAAAATGTTAGCACTGTTTCTGCATCTTTCTTTTTAACCTTAACCCTGAAGACAGCATGAATGGTGGAAATCTCAGTGCTGTTGTGGATCAACGATAATTGGATTTAGTGAAAAATAATTGTTATACCTCCTGCCATGGAAATTATTGACGTAATAAGCGTAGTTCAAAAATCTGTTACAATGGGTTCATTTATACCAAACATGTCACTAACAAAATCAAGTTGTGACTTTTTTCCCCAGTCATGAGCAGATTATATAACCAATAAATATAATATTGTGTGTTATAGGTGGTGTCGAAAAGGCAATCAAAAATATGTATACTTGGTCAGATTTTGGGATGTTGGGTGATGTGAATACTTTTCAATCCCCTTCACTGTGTGTGTGTGTATGTATATATATATATATATATATATATATATATATATATATATATATATAATATAACAATGATTTAGAGTTGGTGGTTAACTTAATGAGTGGGAAATAAATCATATGTAATCAATAAGTTTTCTCTCTATTAATGACAGAACTACTATTAGAGATCAAATGACAGTAAGTTTCCTAAATATATCAGTACTCTCTCTTCAGTATTCTTATTGAAATTAAATTTCCAATTCTTCCAGTCTCTCTTTGAAAGTTTCTTTGGTGCTCATGAACTAGTATATATTCTAAATTGAATATAATCTCATTGTATGAAAAGAATCGGGGGGGGGGGCACCTTAAGGCATTCAGTTCATTAAAAATATCAACTTGATTATGTATTTCTTTGCATGATTGGCTATTCCTTAGAATGACTTCTTTTCAATCTTGATGATTTTTGTTTGTGACCTTTATTGATGAAAATAATTTCAACTCATTAACTGTGAATGGCAGGAATTTATGTCATTACAGTTTTGTGGCTTAACTTTGAGTGACAGAAATTTCTGCTGCTGCTGCAATTAATGGGTTAAGCAATTGGAGTACAAATTGGAACTTCTAACCTCGAAACATTCACTTAGGAAATTTGGAAATGATGATTGTGTGTGTATTATTTTTTATTTTATTTTATTTTTATTTATATTTTTTTTTTTTTTTTCAACAATATAAAAAAAATAAAGTATTAATTAAATAATAATGTATTTTATTTGATTTTTCTTAATTGCAAAAAAGGTTTATACTCATATGGCAGAAAATAAAAGGACTTGTACAAAGGAAGGAAGGAAGAAAGATGCCTAATAATCTTACATGTATTCTGAAGAAATAACTCTTTTCTCTTCTCTCTTCTTTTCTCTTCTCTCTTCTTTTCTCTTCTCTCTTCTTTTCTCTTCTCTTCTTCTCTCTTCTCTCTTCTCTCTTCTCTTCTCTTCTCTTTCTCTTCTCTCTTCTCTTCTCTTCTCTCTTCTCTTCTCTTCTCTCTTCTCTTCTCTTCTCTCTTCTCTTCTCTTCTCTCTTCTCTTCTCTTCTCTCTTCTCTTCTCTTCTCTCTTCTCTTCTCTTCTCTCTTCTCTTCTTTCTCCTCTTTTCTTCTTTCTCCTCCTCTCTTTTCTCCTCTCTTTTCTCCTCTCTTCTCTTTTCTCTCTCTTTTCTCTCTCTTTTTTTTTCTTTTTCCTCTTTTTCCTCTTTTTTCTCTTTTCTCCTCTTTTTTCTTTTTCTCTCTTTTTCTCTTTTCTCCTCTCTTTTCTCTCTTTTCTCCTCTTTTTCTCTCTTTTCTCCTCTTTTTCTCTCTTTTCTCCTCTTTTTCTCTCTTTTCTCCTCTTTTTCTCTTTTCTCTTTTTTTTCTCCTCTTTTTTTCTCTTTTCTCCTCTTTTTTTCTCTTTTCTCCTCTTTTTTCTCTTTTCTCCTCTTTTTTCTCTTTTCTCTTCTCTCATGAAAAATAAAATTGTCCCTTATTAAGGTTTCTTGGTGGTGTTTAAATAAATATATATATATATATATATATATATATATATATATATATATATTTTTTTTAATTAAACATTAAAACTGTAGAAAAGACATATTTGATGTTAAATGCCATCCACTTTATCTCATTAAAAAATGTACACACACAATTTGATTTGTATTTAGCACACTTTAGAGTAGACTCACTTTTTAAAGCAAATTTAATTTTGGGTCAATAGTTTGTATTCTGTTTCTGAAATGTTTGCTTCTACCAGTATTTTTGAATTTTATAAACTATCTGAAACAAATGACATTTCTTTTAAGACAGCTCAGAATATCTGTAGAAACAACTTAGAATTCCCCAACCACACATAAATACAAGAAAATGTTAAAAATTTAGCAGCGTTGCAGTAATTTTAGTTGTCATAAAGTTTAAATAGATGGAACTATAAAATGCCTGTGTATAAACTTTGAATTATTGAAAATAGAAAATTCTTTATTTTAGTTGAATTATTTTTAATATTTCAAAAGTTCTCATTGCCCTCATTTTATTTTTATTCTTAAGTAAATAAAAAAAAAAAACAACACTAGAAACTTTATCACTCTGGAATCTAAAATGTTTATATAAATAAATCTGACTGAGTATTTTTATGTAAATTTACAAATGAATGTCATTAAAAGATCTTTTGTATTAATTTTGCTAAAATGTTTAAAACTTGGAAAAATAAATTCTAAATATAAAAGGAATTTTTTTTTAATCTTTGATATTTGTGATATGTTAAGCATTGGATGAAGGAGATTTTTTAAAATAAATTATTTAAATGTACATGTTAACTGTTCTAAATGGATTAAAATGTTTACAATTACAGAATTTGATATCTATTAAGTTGTAGGAATAGGCACATATATATACTTACTGTCTGTTTATAAATGTTTAATGACTCACTTCAGTATTATTAGTTTTATTACTAATAATATTATGATCAGTATTATTATCCATTATTGACATGGCAGTTTTTTGTTTAATATTTAATGTTTTTATTTAGTTGTATTTTGTTTGAGATTTGTATATCATATATGACTATAATAATAAATAAATGTTTCTTTTACTCATCTTAAAATTCTATAGCCACTCCTAATTGCAGTCATTTAGTTGCTTTAAATAATAAATATAACAGGAAGCAGAAATAGAATAGGATATGACCTATAGAAACTTACTGATGAAAGGCTCCTTTTTATTTCTCATAGCTGCATTCATGATTAACAATTTTTATTACTTGACAAAAGTTTCCTCCTTTTCTTTTAACTCTGTTTATCCTTCTATTCAATGGAATTATTCTCATGAGAATAGAATTGAATGAAACATTTTTTTTAACTCAACAATGAACAAACGCTTTATTCAGTTTTCAGGCAGAATTCTCTCCCTTTGTTTTCATAAATTTATAGGATATATAGCTTTTGGCGTCCTTTCTAAATTTAAATGTTAATATTTAATTTGACTAGTGAATTTTTATAGCTATTGTAGATATTATTTTCTTTTATTTTAGTAACAGCAGTAGTTTGAATGTTTTTTTTTTTTTTTTTTTTTTTATAAGAACAAAGAAATTTAATAGCTTTTAGACTGGCATTTTTAAAAAATCTTTTAAAAAAAATTAATTAATATACCTTTTCTATTCTTTTTGTAATATATACCAGATTTGTTAAGTGATTACAAATTTGAATAGAAAAGATTTCTAGCAAAAATTAGAATATTTTGTACCCACTGCTTTTTTTATTTTTTAATTAACTGGATCTCTCTTTTAAATGAGTAATCCGCATATTTTTATGGCTGTAATATCTAATGATATTTCATGTGCATAACGTTATTTGGCACTAAGTATTTTCTAAATACCATGAGTCACTGGATGTTACTCATTATAATTTGATCTTCAGGGTACATTTTCATCCTCATTATATCTATTTTGTTCACTTCTGTTTTTGTTCTCTCTTACAAAGAAGTTGAATGATATAAAATATATATATATATATATATATATATTTAGGTGTAACTTAGAACTAAAATCTCATTATTTTAAGTTCAATATTTTACCTTTTCTTGACTTCTGAAGACTTTGATTCCAAATGTTTTTCAGAAAATGGTGTTTGAAAGAGCAAAATCTAAATTGGCATATTCATTTTATTTGAAATGTTTCTTTTCACGAGAAACTTTGATTACTCAAAAATTTATAATCAACCATCTTGGTTTACCGAATAACTAGACATTCTGTTGGTGTTTTTTTTGTTTTTTTTTTTTTTTTAAATCCTAGCTTAGATGTGGTACAAAGTCAAAAATATGGGGCACCCAATGAGGATTGAACTCACTACTCAGTCATAATTGTTCTTGCAGAACAATCTTGCTAACCATTACTTGATACCGCAGTACTTGAATGTAGAAAATAGTAATGAAAGCAGTCTTACAAAACTGATTTCTTTTATTTTGGAATTTATGCAATAATTGGAAACATACAGCTTGTCAAAGCATAACATATCAGTCTGTCTTTTTATATCACTCTCTCTTGGCAAAACCTTGCCCCTGGGGTAAGTGGGTAGAAGGATCTTTCATGTGGATTTAACATTTTGCTACACCTGCAACTAGATTTTAGTACTTTTCTTTTGTTATGGCCTTAAAATAAAAATACTTGCCCTTGGGTATATTCTATGGCTTATTTATTTTTATTTTAATGTTACATCTTTAACAACACTTGTTTGAAACTTTGTTACTAAATTTTCATCTTGACTGTCATTTGACAGTTGAAGAAAATATGGATGAAAATTGTAACAAAGTGCAAATTATACTAACTTTTAATAGTAAAATGTCTTTGCTAAATATAAAACAAAAAAATTAGTCAAATTTTATCATCCCCAATTTTACTTTAATTCTTTTCTTATCAGTTTGATAAGACCTGTAAGATAAGTTTATACAATAATAGTCTTTCTTTTAATTTGTTAGTCATATCTTCTACTGATCAGACTACATAAATTCACACTTAAATGAGAAAATTAACTCTTGAAAAGTAAGAACTACAAAAAAACGTGATATTTTATCTGATAGACAAAATTTGTTTTGTCCCTAATCTTTACAACTTTTGTATCTCTGCAGTGACAGTCAGATTCAATAATGCAAGTTTTCTGAACATAGCCTTTGTGTGCAGAGGAGTGAGTGGAACAGTTGATGGGGGTGGTGGTATTTTTTTTTTCTCTCTAACAAAATCTATCCATCTATCTATTTATTATACCAAGTTCATTGTACACTCACATTAGTAAATTTATTATTTGCCATTGTTTATTACTATTATGGCTTTTCTCACTGATATATAAAGGTTAAATTGCATTTAGTTCTTTTATTACTTGTCTACTTGAACAATTTTGTTTTATGAGCAATGCATCTGACAAACAAGCATGCATTGGTTCATGAATTTGATGACATAGTAATTGTGAGTTCAATCCCTGAACTGGGTAGTACGGACTTAGACTTAGTGGAAATAAGGGGAACAATAACTGTGCAGTATGAAAAAGAAAAAGATATCCCTAGATATGAACAATCTACCTCAGAAGATTAAATATAATGCTTAATTCAAAATTTCCTGAAGGGTTCTCAGATTGGCAAACACATGAAGACAGTTGGAGAGCATAACAACCAAAATTTGATAATGACAAAGCTAGTATTAGTCTGAATGTAAATAATGACACACTCTAAAATTTTGATTTTAATTTGTTGGTAATGATAGTTTCCACTCTTGTGTATATGCAGGTAAAATATGTTGGTTATGAGCAATGATGCCCAACTATGCAAGTCACCTTCTTTTGTTCCAGGTGTTTCTTTCTTAGTGATTTTCTTGTGCTGTGAAATGGTATTAGTGAAATAGTTTTAAACACACATATATATATATATATATATATATATATATATAATTTTTTTTTTTTTTTTTTTAAATTATTGTAATTATATCTGTTAGATTTTCAAAATGTACTATTAAAAATGTCAACATTGCTTCTTTCCTTATTCTCCCATGTTGTGATCTAAATCCGGAGATGGTTACCACTTTTAGTGCAAAAAATAGACATTTAAATAACAAAGCAATTTAAAAGCCATCTATAAAAAATTTTTATTTAGAAAGATTGCAAGAGACCTTATTGGACATTTATAACAAAACATTTTTTTTGTAATTTCTTTTTAAAAGCTGAATGTACAAATTTATCTCTTGCATGAGGCAAGGGCAAGATATACTACATCTACTGGTAGATAAAAATTATAAAACTGCTTTTATTTGATGCCACAGTTTTAAGTCTTAGTTTTGAGTTAATATACATACACTTTGAACTTTATATATTAGATGAAGGGATTTGGAAAGGTTTTAAAATATCTTGTTTGATCTAACTAATGCCTTTATCCACTGTGCCAGTTAAATCCAGTGACAGAACCCAAAGAGTGTGAGTTCAAAACCCAGCTAAGGCAGTGGAGAACTTTCAGAGGGAAATTAACAGGAGATAACTGATAACTGACATCCATTAAACATAGCACATGGAACTAGAACAGTCTACCCCAGTGAGCAAAATAAAGGGTTCAGTTCAACATTTCAACCACCTCAAGAAGGCCAGAGCGTACAATCACCGAAACATTGTAATGAATATGGCGACAAAGATGAGGACAATAGTCTGAATAATGTCCATAATACCTCATCTCAGAAATATAGACAGTTATTTTTTTTATGATTTTAAAAAAAAGACAGCAATATCCACATATATACATCAGTAAGTCTGTAGCTTCATGTTTCACAAATATTTGTCAACATAATTTCTTACCTGTCAATGTGCTTAATGACTATCAGATTTCTTGTTAGGATAATTAGGATGAAATTTTTACTAATTACTATTTCTTAACATTCCAATTCTAATGGAAGGTACTGGAATGGTTAATGCCCTCTACCTCTTCAGATCTCCAGAATGTTT